ATTCAATAACAGCGTCGACCCTGGTCTTGTCCAAAGCAGGCTTTCCGTCCACATCTTTTGGACGTTGCTCTTTACACAGTACAATGGTTCTATATGGTCTCAATGTAAGCTTCAATCTTGTAAAATGTGAGTTCATTAGGCTAAAAAGAGCAGAGGTCTGCCCACTGTGTATTTATAACTTCCGTGTTCATAGACAGTGGAAAGAGGCTCACTTCTTTATACTTTACTGATCTGTCAAGTTATTTAGTTTCATAGACCACTGATGTTGATAAAAAGTATATAAGAAGGAGGAATAAAACATTAATCTCAATTTGGCACATAAAGGAACAAGTGCAGTGTATAGGCTTTTGTCTCAACAATTAAAGGCTATACAAAGTCTCAACACTACCATTGAATGAGAGTACATAAAAAGTGGATCATAAAAATTAATCCGATCTCAATACATATTGTAACAACTGCAGTGTATAGGCTTTCGTATCAACAAAGGCCATACAAAGTCTGAAGACTACAATTGATAAAAAGTATATAAAAAGCGGACGATAAAAATTAATTCCATTTTGATACACATTGTAACAACTGCAGTGAACAGACTTTTACCTCAACAAAATCTATACAAAGTCTGAACAATACCATTGATAAAAAGTATATACAAAGCGGGCGGTAATAATGAATCCAATTTCGATAAACATTCTAACCACTGCAGTGTATAGACGCGTGTCTGAAAAAGGTGTACATAAAATGTATACAAATACGTTGTTAGAAAGTGGGTAGGGAAGAAAGTCGCAAGGATCGTTAAGAAGTCGCCAGGATTTCAATAGACTGGGCAACGTTTTTTTTTTGAAAGGGAAGCCCCTATCGCAAGGACGTCACTAAGTACACTCAACCTCTGCAGTTCTTCTCGGAAATCGTCGATTTTGTAAGGTCGCCCTGAGACGGCGCAATGCAAAAATACAGAGTTCAAGGCGACAGTACCTGATAGCAGCGTGGGCAGGACAACGCGATATTCCTGGGTATCGTTGATAACAGTTGCACCGCGGCCTGACACGGCCGTTTTTGCCGCTCCAACGGAGCACATTATCGCACGTCCGTACTGCGCGGCAGCCGGAAGTGGACCTCGTCCACGAAACGCGCGGAGTAACACTTTTTCTTTTTTTTTCATGCGCACCACTTTAGTACCTTTGACAGCGTTGCACGCTAAGTATGAAACAGAGTATAAGACACCCTATTGTCTGGTACAGAGACCATTTATGAACGCTTGGGTGTTTAAACGATGTACTACACATTTTACAAAAAGAAAAAAAAATTGGGTGTTTAAACGTTGTACTACCCTTTTTTCAATAGAAAAAAACAACAATAAAAAAAATAACACATTTCAGAAGAAAAAGTTAAGGAAACGGAATGTACCATTATGTTCAGTGAAGTTTGGTGACAAGACTCGGGACTCGAGCAGGAATGCAGTCATCCTTGGTGTGACCCCATGAGACGGTCTTGCTGCCTTTGCTGGGGTTTATCTAACTGAAGTACCTGTATGAAAAGTAGAACACATGTGCATAACACTCATTATTCACAAGAAAATTTGTCAATGTCCAAAATGACCCATGAAGAAAATTATGCGAGAAATTTTCAGGCTGCGTTGGCCGAGTCACCTCTCGTGGCCAATGTTTTATAGCAACTTTAATTGTTGTGAACAGTTATAGGGTATATTACGAACAAAGTGGAATTTGGTTTTGTAGGAAACTATAACACACAAAATGACACTTGTATACAGTATGTTGAGGTGCCTCTAAACAAACTCCAGGGTTTCATGGCGCCTCCTTGAGATACCTGATGTTGAACATGAAATATGTGCACCAAGGAGTGAGCAAACAGCGACTTCAGATTTGTCTCTAACACCAGCGACATGTCGACAAGGAGTGCAACGTGTAGAAGGTAGTATAGAAGTGTGCCAAGATGAAAAAGCAAGATGTAACGATATCAGAATAAGATCACACCAACGAGGCACCAGTGTGGTGAGACAATCTACGATGTAGAGACAGCAATCGGGAGTCAACCGACGTACGGCCGCGATTTACTTTGAAGCGACTAAAATGAAACATGGCAAAAAAAAATTAAAAATAAAAAAACGCGTTTTTTTTTTTTTACTTTATTTGTTGAGCGCAGCCGGTAGCAGAGCAGTTGGGCGGCGTCACGAGAATCGGACAGACTCGCTAGCTTTTCTCAACTTCGTACGGCGCCAGTCGGCACCACAGTTGAATGGTCGGCACTCTTAGTCTACCGGGGAAGAAAAAAGTACGAGCTCAGAGCCCAGCGTCGATCGCGACTTTCGTAAAGAGAAGCTCCGGTAACACTTCGGCGACTCGTGAGCGTTAAACAACGCCTCTTCGAACGAGCCCACGAATCCAACACGTCGAACGGTTTGCGCCGGTAAGCACGCTGGGAGCCAGGGGGCTGGAGGTTGAATATCCGAAAGAGACGAGGCACTAGATAACAGAAAGTATAAAACAGAGAGAGGACGAAACACAGACGAGTACATTCTTTCAACTTTCAACAAAGTTTATTTCATGGGGTGCGAACGTATGTTCCCCTGCGCAGACTTAGGGAAAGGGGGAAAAGGGCAGAGGCAGAGGGGGAAGTAAGAGGAAGGAAGGGTGGGTGGGAGAGGCGGCTGGGTGCGTGGACTCGTTGGGGTCGGGCCGCTCACCGAGGTCGTCTAATCACCCCGGACAGCTCTTGGCTCAGATAATATATCTCTCTATCGGAGAGGGCTAGCGAGGGGGAAGAGACATTGACGACGGAGTTTTTTATCGTTTCCAGGAGGTCCGCAGCAGCCTTCTGGACAAACTGGAACGAGGGGTGGCAGGAGAATCGCGCCCCGAAGAGGCGCTGGTTTCTACGCCTATTTCGCACATGAGATAACAAGATAGCGAAGCTAGCCGAGTGTAAACACTGACTGACGTTACATCAGAGTACACGCAGTCGAAATGACGTCTGCAACAGAGCACAGCCAGACGCTTTCAGCAGGGGACGCCTGCGTTCAAATAAGCTGCGATTTCAAAACATCATGTCTCCCTTCTGTCCTTCAGTGTTCACTTTGATCTGTGTATACCAAAGCACTCAATGCTGCAAGTAATAAAGTCGTCTATACGTACCTTTCGAAGCGATTGAAAGTGCGTTGGTTTCACTTGGAACCCACAAGCAAAGTGCGCGACGAACTTGACGAGCTGTTATCCGTCGGTTCCGCCGGGTTGGCGCGGTCGCGGTCGTTGCGCAATGGCGGCGTAATCTCGGCGGCTCGCTCAGCCGCTTGTCTGGCAGCGCATGCGCGCAGGCGCGCCGGCTCGCTGGGCTCGCCTCCCTTCGGAGTTCGAACCGGTTCGAACTAAAGCCCCTTGATGTGTTTACGTGTCTTGCAAGTAGCGTCAAATGCGCGAGCGCACGAGGCCCATGTCTCGAGCGGCCCCTGGAAGCAAATGGCGGTGCAGCACTGAAATGAGCGGCCTTTGGAAGCGAATGGCGGTGGAGCACGCGCTCGCGGCACGTATCTCGCGCGTTTTCACAACAATGGTTGGCGGTACTTGTAAAAACGGCCTTTATCAAGGGGCTTTAGTTCGAACTGCCTCCGAAGCTCGAGCTGCTCGAGCGCTCGAGCTTTCGCGCCCGCGGGTTGACGATGGAAACTTTTCTCATAAAACGAGTCTGTAACGTATCGTTTGATGCCGCAAATGCACGTATTTTTCCCGTCGTTTTTTACAGTGTGTGAATCTTGCGAAACAGGCGACGAAGAGTGGTGGGTGAAGTGTGCTCGCGTGTGGTTGTGGATTTTGTGTACGACGTAGGATTACCCAGAAAGGTGGGTCAATATCGATAAATGTGCGGGTAAGAAGCACGTGACCTGTCAAGCCCATTAATCCTCATTATTTTATCGTGCGAACTGACATTGTCACGTATCGCGTTCGATTTGGGTTCCAACATCGGTAACCTAACTTTTGTTGCATTAAAACTGAAATAAACATTTGTTTGAAAACGATCACTCCAATGAGCACGTCGTTATTGGGCTTCTTCATTGAAAGGTAGGTCGCGGGTGTCCCAGCTAGTTATTCTGAATGGTTTGGCGGTTGTCTAGCATTTCAAGCGCTCGAGGCTGTGTGTACTGTGTGTCGTACGTACACTTGCGCTTTCGATCAATGTGAATGTTTGCAACGCGGAACGTTTGTGTTCTGTGTGTATCCACCTCCAATATCGTTCTCTCTCGTATTGCCGTATGGTAACTCCTGCTGTTCTACAATATCATTCACGCGATGTCGTATGTGGGCGTACCGTTATCCACATGTTGCTTCACGGGCGATCAATACTGTGTTACGTATCCTCTTAGTCCGCGGTATATGCCGACGTAATTCATGTTGGTAACTTGGAATTCGTTCTGAGATTTATCCACGCGATATTGTATTCTCCTTTGGGCCCGTGATCGACGACCGATATTTATATATCGTGTGGCCGCACAGTATGTCCATGTCGGTCACCAATATGCACGCGGTGTCGTATTCTATTCTAATAACCGTGAGTTCTGTCGGGATATTGTGCTTCGATATCGTGTTGTATACCAATAACCGCAAGTTGTATCGGTATATTGTGCTTCATTATCCTGTTGTATACCAATAACCGCATACTATATCGGGATATTGTGCTCCGATATGAATTCCCATCGTGCGTATTGGGTTAATCGGATAACAATAAGTTTTTATTGGTTTCCATCAACTTCATTGGAATACAATATTTCCAATAAGCAGAGTTCATATTGGCCTTTTTCAATAGGGTCGTCTTTCCATTCTCGAGATTTTCCAACGGGGTTAGTTTATCTCCACTTTTTTGAACGCGGAACAAAACGCCCTCCACGGATTGGCCGCGAGCGCTCCCGCTTGCGGCCAATCGGTGGAGGGCACTAGTTCCGGCTTCGCCGTCTGGCGCAATTTCCGGGAAGCGCACGCCCTACGCGTGTACAAAAGCACGTGGGTTTAGATCGCGCTTACTTTTTTGCTTGAGTCCAGCGCCTCGACTCATGTGAAAAAGTGCGTCGATCTAACTGCGGACATGCGACTCAAACAACGCCAGCTGCTGTACGTTCTGACCAAGGTTGCCGACGATGAAAACCTTCAAGTGGTAGAGCACTCATACAAAACGGGGGCCAGCTTAGCGGGAAGCGGCGCCTTTTTTGGTGCTAACCTCCTGGGGCCCGTGGGAATAATTGCGGGTGAGTAGAACAGTCATTTTGATTACTTTACGTGAATTTCTCCAATCTATGAAAGGACAAAATTGCTCTTACATTTTGATTACATTAATGTTCTTCCTCGGCTAAAGTAGCTTCATTAGTTTTAAGAAGTGACTTTTCGTCAGTCATGTGCACATAGTAATTTCAACGGCAGCACTTTCTTCTCTTTTGTAGTTCTCGTCTTAAGTTTTACTGATTCTTTCAACAGTGCAAAGGATTTTCCTGCCTCAATTTGTTCGCTTACTATACGGAAAATTCTACCATAGAGAAGTAATTCTTAAGTTACCCAGCCCACATACCTGATTTTTTGAATAAAAACAAATTAGTTACTTCGGTATGTTTTAATATTGTCATTACTTTGATTCATTTCGAGAATTATCAGTTTCATTTGCTGTTCCTGTGTTGTTCAGTTGAAATATCAGCAATGTTTTTATCTCTTTAATGTATTTGCTTCAGTGTGATTTCAGATAAGATCGAAAAAAGGGTGGCTAGTTGACATTTCTAAATCAACTGATGTTTTTAATGCCATTGCCTATGTCTGGTATAAACGAATCCACACTTACTATTGACCAGAAAAGAAATTAGGGTACAGGAAATGTCGAAAGGCCTTAAGAGGTGTACAGTTGAATTAACGCGCACTGATGGAGGGCGCACGTTTCGAAGTAAATAACTAAAAGGATAAAATTAAGAGAGTTCTAATACGTATTAGAAACAAACTAAGGGTATAGCTTGCCTGTAATATATAGTAATCATGTTTATTTACGTTATATTTATTTTTCTAAACATTTCCAAACAATACTGCTCGAACGAAAAATGGCAAAATTTGAAGGCCTGTATCTCATGAAATAATTTAATCGCCATCATATACTTTTCACACAGTATTTTATGTATACATAGCAATTATTTGATATATATATATATATATATATATATATATATACCGAGTGTTTTTGCGAAGACTTTCAAAAATCCTAAAAATTAGGGCGATTGAAAAAAGAAGAAACTCTCTTAGGGAACAAACTACCAGCCACGGCGGACGTCAGGAATTGCCAAAAACCTACTAATTAGCCAGATAATTAATTAAAACGTGTTAATTAACTTTTTGATTAGTGGAAATAGACAAATGATTCCAATTAGAAAGTTGCTGAGCGTTAACGAAAACCACTAAATCAGTCATTTTCAGAAAGATTTTAAGCGCTGAGAAGTGTAGTAGCGCACTAAAATTACCACTCGTGGAGCAGGTACAAGGCTGGGGCTAGATAAGAGGCGGAAAAATCGCTCGGACGCAGTGAGGTTCTTTTCTTCTCTGATGGTGATGTTTGATGCTGATGCTAGCTGCTTGATGTCAATTTTGAAGTCTTGCCTGTTGACGAGGATGTCGAATAACGCATCACGGAGACTTGATGTCAAGAAGAACAAATGCGTTTACTAATTAAGAGCGAATATAAAAATTACAAGAGCAGAATTTTACAGAACAATCATCCTTGCCGGACACGGCAGGAGTCTTTCGGCAAGACCCGCTCCGGGAGCGTATATCTGGTCACTCCCTGGAGCTCGTACAAAAAACTCTCCTTCCCCAGTCCTCCTAGGGTTTAAAAACCCATGGCCGCAACCTGTTCCACCCAATCGCAGTCCAATACCCCTCCTATTGGGTGCAGTTGGCAACGCCCTCATCACATACATACGAGAGGTCACGCACGCTTCCTCTGGGGCCCGAACGAGGACCCTTGGGTGATCGCTGGTCTCCGAACACCTGAAGGGTCGCAGGAAAAGGGCCCGAACGGGCACCCTTTCCACGTGTGGCGGCGTCGGCGTAGCCACCTGCCAAGGCGGTTCTCCAAAGAGAAGATGACGAAAGCCGACACGAGTCGGAAGCCGAAAGCAGTATCAGGAATCACGGCCTGGCTCTCCTTGAGAAGCAAAGAGAGCCGCCAGGACGGAGAAACGCGGTGCGGTGAGGACCGGAAAGGCGAACATCGTCGGGTAAGAGAAAGAAGAAAGGGACCCCGACGAGTCGATCCCAGATGCTGTCCGTTCGGATCACGTACAGGGTCTTTCCAGGTGCACTGCCGCGGGCGCGCAATGATTGGGACCCGACCCCGCCGAAGAAAACACCTCACCATCCACCCTTGTGAGCCAAAGCCGCCGTGTATACAAACGGAGAGCCGCCTTCGAGCGGCGGCTTCAGGACACACGAAGCTCTTCAAATGGAGCGCCCTTTCGATCGCCGCCGCGCATTGCGCCAACCTCACACGTCCCCTCCAAGACTGCGCCAGAACTTCTAGGACTGGTTAGCAGTACAAAAAAATTAGAGGTCGCAGAAAAAAAAAAGGAAAACAAGAACACAACAACGTACGACGTACATATAGAGCAACCACGTTAAGGTCTGCCTCCCAAGGGCAACAGCACCTCTTAAAAAAAAACACGTGTCGCCTTCCCCATCTGAGAGAAAATTACTCTTTAGCAAGCACGTCAACTTTTCAACTATATCGCATCCAAATTAACGGAGTTAAGCAACATGTATGTATACGCAATAGTCACTACAAATAGCAAAGCCGATGAAATGGAGTAGAAGGACCACTCTATACACTGGCACAATAATAAACACGGCACGACCGTGAAACATAGCACAGCGAACTCTCCTGCCTCCGAGGGGCATAACAAATACAGGCGGCCGGAGTATCCTCTCTTGCAGGATTGTCAAAGGGTTCGCACATGCACACACCATCACACATTAGCCACTGGTAGGGTCCTCCGGCCGCTGCAACCCGCACACTCCATGACAGCACAGAATATTCTTTTGTCTCGCAAGTTGCAGGGTTACACGTTTTTACCCTCTAGGTGGTCATGCCTCGGCCGCAACCAGCCTGGAGAGCGCGTCCGCATTGGCATTTAGTTTGCCCTTTTTATGTACAACCGTGACATTAAATTTTTGCAGCGCGAGAGCCCAACGGGTGAGACGGGCGCTATGTGGGGTGCTGAGTGTCAAAAACCTAAAAGGATTGTGGTCAGTGACGACCTTGATCGATGCCGCGAATAGCCACGTCTCGAGCCGCTGTAGGGCCCAGATGATCGCGAACGCCTCGCGCTCAATGGTAGCCCAACGAGTTTCAGCAGGGGTTAGGTTCTTGCTAAGGAAAGCAATCGGACGCTCTTTTCCGTTGTCATCTTCCTGAGCCAAGCACGCCCCGATCGCGAACTGTGAAGCGTCCGTAGCCAAGATGTACTCCTTTTGGGGGTCAGGCGCAAAGAGTGCAGGCGCCTGAGCTAACCGTGCTTTCACTTCTTCGAATGCCTCTTGGGCTTCCTTTGTCCACGGCAGCTTTTGCGGTACGCGCTTATTGGTGAGATCAGTCAGCGGCAGAACAAGACGAGAGTAGTCGGAGACGTAGTCGCGGTAGTAGTTTGCCAGCCCCAGAAAGCTCCGCAGCTCTCTCTTCGTCTGCGGCCTAGCGATGTCCCGAATTGCCTCTACCCGCTTTGGGTCCGGGCCATGTTTCCCCGACCCTACAACATGCCCCAAGAAATGTACTTCACTGCGAGCGAATTTACATTTCTGCACGTTAACGGTCAATCCAGCGGACGCCACTGCTGCCAAGACGCGCTCCAGATGAATTACGTGTTCTTCCCACGTCCTCGAAAAGGTCGCCACATCATCGATGTAGGCGCACGCATACTCAGCATGTGGTGCCAAGATCTGATTGATGATCCTCTGAAACGTAGAGGCTGAGTTTCGGAGCCCATACGGCATTACCTTCCACGCGTACTGACCTTGCGGTGTCACAAACGCTGTATAGTACTGCGCCTGCTCGTCCATCGGAATCTGCCAATATCCTCTAAGCATGTCGAGGATCGATATGAAGTTTGCTCTTGCAACTTCAAGCAGTAGATCACTGGCCCTGCTCATGGAGAAGGCATCTGGTTTGGTGATAGCGTTCAACTTTCGATAGTCTATGCACAGTCGCATACTTCCATCCTTTTTGGCAACACATACCACTGGATGCGCGTGACTACTTTCCACTGGATACACTAAGCCCCATTCTTCAAGCTCGTGCACCTGGCGTTCCACTTCTCGTCTGAACGCCATGGGAACCCGGTACGGGTACGCACGCTGAGGTTCGGACCCCTCTTGCAGTGTGATTTTATGCTTTCCAACGTTGCACATTCCCGGCCTTTCAGAAAATACGACGCGGTTTTTCTCTACCAATGCCTTCAGCTGATACTGCTGGGGTTTCGTCAAATGAGCGACCGTCGGAAGCTCACCGCTTTCCTCATTTCCCTTAGCACTCGGAAGGGTAGGGATGTCACCGAACGCTCGATCCTCCTCGAAGATCACGCTTACTACTGACACCCGAGAGTGATATGCCCTTAGGTTGCTTGCGTGGACAGTTCTACGACTTCGATCCTCGAGCTCCACTTCATAGGAATACGGACGCAACCGCCGAACTATTGTGACCGATCCAGTCCACTTTGGCCTCAACTTACCCTCTTTTTCTCTTTCCGACCACAAGACCTGGTCCCCATCACTGAACTGCTTATCCCTAGCCCGTAGGTTGTGCCGGTTAGCATAGGCCTCCTGAGTCAGCGCACCTGTCTCCTTCGCACGTTCGGATGCACTCTCGAGGCGCTTTCGCAGCTGAGACAGATATGTTCCCGCTGAGACATTCAGCGAGTCTGGCACTGTCCACTCACCCGTCCATGTTTTCTGAAGTATAGCCAGTGGCCCGATCGGCACCCTACCGTACATCATCTCGAACGGTGTTTCACCGGTTGTAGCGTTGGGAACCTCGCGATACGCCCATAAGAGGTACGGTATGTACCTGTCCCAGTCGCGCCCATGCTCCTGGACTACGTGGCTTAACATCGCCTTGAATGTTCCGTTCCACCCCTCCACGAGTCCGTTGCTCTGCGGGTGGTCCGGTGTAGAGAACCGCGGCGTCGCTCCTAGCCTTGCCATAAGCTCCTGAGTGAGTTTTGCCGTA